CAGAGGAAGAAAGAGGAGGAAGCAGGCAACCTTGAAAAGAGTCAACTGCACGAGGCATTCCACCAATGGGCGCTTGGCAAGGAGTTGTATGGAGGAGACCCAGGAACCTGTCTCTGACTGGGGAAGTCACCCCGGAAGCACTGTAGTGAACAGCATCTGATCCCACCAACCAGTGTCTTAAAATATTTTACCACAACTCTTAACTTCAGAGCAATTATCCTTGCACCAAGTTCCATGGAATGGGTGTCCTTCCACCAATTTCCTAGCTGCAAAAAATATGCATAATGTGTACCTGTCTAACTTTCCAAAAAGAGAAGATGCCCTGATCTGATTGAGGATTACTGAAAAGACTTTTCAGGAACAGTGACAATTGCAAACTTCTGTACCAACATGGTGATGCTGAATTTTTCTTCTACCGATAGAAAGATGCCTATCTTCCAAGGGATTTAACCAATATACGCATGGTCAGAAGGTGGAAAAAAGCAGTATGTTCTCGTACTCCCTTTATTTGCCCTGTCTTAATCTGCCATAGATTAGGAATCCAGAGCAAAGTCAATGAATTACTCTTTTTCTTGATGCAAGCTGATCAATCCCCCCTTTGGCATTTCTCTTTATAATCCCTTAACTGATGTCCATCAACCACCTTGCAGTTTCACAGGCTGCCTGCGGACGGTGCCAGAGATGCCTGAAGAGTTGTTGTAAACTCAACAAAACTAGCCCCTGGAATGGCATCCTTTATCACGAAGCGTATTTTGATCACGCTCTTCTTACAGCAGACAAAGGCAGATGTCTAGAAAATAAGCCAAAAGTGAGAGATTATTTTTTAAGCCCCTGGGAGAGGAGGGTGGTAGGAAAAAAAAAGTGTTGACAGCCTCAGACTGGCATAATGACCATGTGGAGGGTTAGACCCTGAGGCTGCTAACAGATCCTGAGCAGAGAGGAATGTTGGGTGTGTGCTCATTAGGTTGTATTTACTAAGGCAGGGAAGGGGTCTCAGGTGGCACCGAATGATTTTAGACAAGGAAGATTTTCTGCCTTGCACTCTTAATCAGAATCCTTTCCCATCCCCTTTGAAATGCTTGCCCTTTCTATTCATTTCTTCTATATTTTATACCAGAGTTACTAAAATAAAAACCAGTACCCTGTAAGGATGACATTTTGGGATTAGTAGATGAACAGTATTCTCCCAAAACTAGATCAATTGCTGTTGCTTCCTCTCCCCAGTCTTTCTTTGTCTTCTTCCCTAGAGTTACCATTTCTGGAGAGACCCGCAGCTGCTTTCTCTGCTGTGACAGAGAGTAATGACAGTTCTCAGTTCTGGATTCTGACAGTTCAAAGAAACCTTGAAGTTTAAGATAGATGCGCAGGGAAATAAATCTTACTTAGGTGCTGCCAACATTATGAATTTATTAAAGGACACTGACCTCCTCTACATGGATAGCCTTCCACTGGAAGCTGAGAGGGAATCCTTTGGTATAATGCTTTGATACCATTCCATTCTTTGTGGAGGAGAACTGTGCTGTTAGAGTCAGTAGGTTTAATTAACACATTAATGTGAAAGGCTGAGTTGTTGTTTTCTCCCTTTGTTGAGATAACACCAGGGTGATCAATTAACTTCTGAGTGAGAAAGTATTTGAAGGAATAGGTTGGATATATACAGAGAGCAGTCTGGGGTGAATTTGAAAGACCCCACTTGCAAATGCTCAAGACTTTCAAATGTACTGATTTATAAGCTTTATTTTAAGATACTTGCCTCTAGTTATGGATCCATGGAAGCAAAATGTATTCCTGTAATAAATTACTATTATTCATTTTCTGGGAAACCTGAGTTTCTTAACATGCAGGCTACTGCCTAGGAGATTTGCTTGGTGCAATATCAATATTTTATTTTTCTTTTCTACTACTACTAGGTGCTAGGAATCTATAGATAAACTAGAAGATTGAGAATAATGATATGTAAAAATTTTGCAGTCATATCAAAGAGTAAAGGAGCCAGGGATACAGCTCAGTGGCACAGCGCCTGTCTGGCAAGTGCAAGGTCCTGATTTCGATTCCCAATACCAAAAGAAAGAAAGAAAGAAAGAAAGAAAGAAAGAAAGAAAGAAAGAAAGAAAGAAAGAGAGAGAAAAAAGAAAAAAGAAAGAAAGAGAAGGTAAAGGAGTACTCTAAGACATTTTTGAGATATTTTACACCAGAAGAGACTTTCTACTTGCATGCTCATAGGGGCTGTCTTTAAAGACTACTAAAAGTAGATGTAAAGCTATGCCCTGTAGTTTGATGGTATCTGTTGTTGCATCATCAGTCTTTGTAGATGAGGCCGGTGGGAGTCGAAGTGGACAGGAGAAAGTTTGCAGGGAAGGCAGCCTTCAGAGGTTGGCCCAGAAGGAAAACAGGTCTTGAAGCAGCCTTTGACAGAATGGGTAGCACAGGTTAAGGCACAGTAGAGGGACTGTGCCCAGGTTAGTGTGGGAAGATGTGAGGGCCCGTCCACTAAGACAAAGGCTAACTTTCCTGAGACGGAATTAAAAAGCATTTCACTGAGCTGAATAAGACAGCCTTGGTTTATTGGTTTGCTTTGTATACCCACTGCTTGAGGGGCCTCTAGATGCTCGCAAATAACAAAGCAGCCTTTTGAAGATGTAAACAAATATCATGGGACATACCTGATTCGTCCACAGGCTCTGAATCAAAGCCTGGGGGATGAATTTAAGCAGTCAGAGAAAAAGTAAAGAACAGCGATGCTGGCACCCAGCAGTCCTTCACAGAGATGGATTCTGGGCAGGAACAGGGATGGCAATCCCTTAGCGCAGCCATGTGAGCCCTTGGAGTTTATGCATGGTGCTTGCAGGATTTATGCAAAGCTAGCCTGCGTGCACAGAATTATTATCCTGAACCATCTTGATTCTGTTACATTTGCATTAGCTTTTGTATATACATAGTGGTGCTAACATCCGTTTGCATATAGATATGGGCTCACTACAGTGCTATGACCTCTGTTCACACTAAACCTACAGGAAGTATGTCTCTGGGTTTCAAAAACAAGTACGGAAGTGGATCAGTGACTTGCTGCAATTGTACAAGTCATTGTTTTAAATTGCAGGATGGTCAGGAAGTGCAGGAAAATGAGAACATGGCATGTACATGCGGGCTCCTCAGCTTCAGAGTCAGAAAGGAGGGTTATCCCTCTTCTTTTCCCTGTGTGCAAGAAGCTGTCTTCCAGTCTCTCCTTGGAATCATTAAAATGTAACAAACATGAAGTAGTCGTCTTGGGGATGTCATGCTTCCAGTGAGCCAAGACCACCCCCAGGTCTTCACATGTCAGTGCTGCCACCCCTGCTCACCACTCCAGGACAAAGTCTCCAGTCCATGAGAATTTGGAGACTTTCAAGTTCCAAACTATAGCAATGGGCGAAGAAAAAAAATATCTTGAGCAAAAAGCAATGCACTCTTCTTGGGCAGATACTCAAATAACTCTATAGTCAGAGCCAATCCAGTTTCTGGCCTTAGGAGCCAGATACTCCATCATTTTTGGATTTCAGGATGTTTTGAATGAAAGGACACAATGTCAGAGTGGGTGTTTTCAAGGGTCCTTCAATACTTGAGATGAGTCAGTGTTTGGACAGGCCTGGTGCGTGCACAGCCTTGGAGTGTCCTTTGACCCCTTCTTTGAGTACTGTGGCTGAGGAGGAAGGAGGAGGAGGGCCAATCATTGTACTCTGTACAGCGTGTCTTACCCTCTCTTCGGCGTGGTGGTTAGCAAATGAGGTGCTGGACTATGAGGGCTGGGAGGTTCTCAAACCACACATAGCAGAAAGGAGATGTTCCGAATGGTAGTTTTCAAATCAGTAGCAAAATACCCTCGAGAACCAGGATACCAAGAGCAACAATATTCTGTGGGCGGCCATCAGAGGATGCTTCCCAAGACAGAAATTCCTGGGATTACATGAGGAGCCTTATTACAGGAAACACAAGATGCAAGAATAGGTGGTTGGAAAAGCAGACATTCTAGGGGGGTGGAGTATGTGAAGGACTCATCCTATCTGGTGCAAGGTGATTCTATGCAGTTGACCTGGTAAAGCACCAAAGCAGTGTAACAAATGGATTTGAAATTGTACCAGCCGTGTAGCCATCTGGAAAAGGGCTGCATATCTTCATATGCCACAAGGACGGTGTGTAGAATCAATACTGTAATGCATGCAAAGCACTAGGATTACAGGAAGAGCTTCGTCACTGAGGATTGTTCCTTTATAATCCAAGGGTCCTTCGGTTACCCTCACGAAGGTCAGCATTAGCCTCTCATTGCATGCAGGATCAGTTCTGGTCTCCTTAGCTTGGTACTCACTCCTTTTCAGAGTTCCCCTCACAGATTCCTACACACTTCTTTACCTAAGCCAGATTCTTCTATAGCTCGTCTCTGCCTGTCTCAACACTTTGGTCCCTGCTGTTTCCTTGTGTGAGCAGTGCCATTTTAGCCAGTTTGAATCTTGTCATGTGTTTAGGACCCAAGTGGTCACAGCATCTGTGGAGCATGGCAGACAGACGCCTGTCTCCTCCACTTTCCTTTAACTATGGCTGCCTTGGGAGTTGCTGCTCTTGAGTTTATGCAGGTTCAAGATGGCCCATGGGCTTGTGCAGAGCTAAGTCTAGATTCTATGCTGGACACTCCCCTCAGTGTCCTCCTATTGTTAAGTCATAGCACAGCCAGCTTTGTCACTGGGCTGAACAGAGTGTGGGTTCCAGTGCCGTCTACAGCTTACATAGCATGTAGCCTTCAGCAATTCACTTGATCTTTCTGAGCCTCAATTTTCTGAACTGTAAAGTGAATAATTTAATATCTTCCATGCAGAATTTGTGAGGAGCACAGATGATATATATGGAACACTCACCTGGCATATGGCAGGTGCTCAATATATAGATATATTTTCAGGGCTGATTGAAAGACATGCCTGTGGATTCGATTGCCATAGGACCATGGTGTTATTAATTTCTTTTCTCTACAGCTCTACAGCTCTGCTGAATTTGGGAGAAGGTGGCAGCTTATCCAGGAAGGAGTGGTACCAAACAGGTTCTACTGGTAAGTCACACTTTACCTTCTAGCATAGTAAGATATCACTTAGAAAATGAGCATTGAATCACAGCCTTTTGGATGGCAGAATGCAGTAATCATTTTAAGGAAATGTTGAAAGTTCTGTCACAAATTTCCTCCTTTTCCCAAACTCAGTGACATTAGTGAGCAGCAGAAGCTGTATGGGTGTTGCTTTGTTAGATTTTTTGATATTTGAGAGAGGTTCTTTTTTAAAATAATGAGTTTTAATATGAAAACATTATATATGTATATATTTCATACTCATATAAAGGCTTTCAAACAAATAAGTAGATTTATTCAGTCTCAGTGTAGATTTTCCTTCTGTTCCTGATTCTAGATCATATGGCTCCCTCCCTCATCTTGTGGAACTCAACCACGAGCACTAGTCTTTTACAAAGGCCTCCAAAGAATTCTGTAGATCACCAAACATGTGTACATATATGGTCTCACTTTGCTCAGGCTACTGTAACAAAATGCCATAGACCAGAAACTTACAATAGATAATGAATTTTCACTGTGCTGGAGGCTAGGAATCTCAAGATCAAGTTGCCGGCAGTCATGATTCCTGATGCAGGCCCCTTTCCTGGCTTGCAGATAGTTGTCTTGTTGTGTGTCCTCCCACACTGCAAAGAGGGAGAGTTCTGGTTTCTCTTCCTGGTCTCTTGGGAACACTGATTCCACCATGGAGACCTCACCTGCATGACCTCATCTAAATTGAATTACATCTCTAAGAGCCTACTTCCCAATACCAACAGAAGAATAGAGATTAGGGCTTCAACATGTACATTTTGTAAGGGGCACAAATATTCGGTTCACAGTGTATATATTTGAATATTTTCATTTTCCTAAGTGTTAAGCATGCTGGTCTACACCTTGTTGTTTTGGGGATTACGGCATTAACAATGCATTTATCACCTTGTTTAAATAGTTACACGTCATTTTGCTCTGGAATATAGTTTGAGGTAGATCTCAACATGTATTTAATGTACAACATAAATTATATGCGTTGGTGGGATGTGCTTATAGAAAAAGAGAAATTTGGGAGGTGGTGATGGAGAAGAAGGGAAAAAGAATAAGAGAGAAAGTGAAACAAAGAAAATAGTATTCTTGACCTCCTAATTAGCAAGGATTTTCTTCTGTGGGATTGGGCAGCTGAACTTGAAGGGAAACAGCAAAACCTGCTACTGGCTTTTGGGTTTTCCAGAGCATCGATCATAGCCAGGTAAGGACGAAGTTTGGAACACTCCAGAGTACTTGCAGTATGACTGTTTAATACCTTTTGAATTTTCATCCTAACCTCACCCAAAGGCGTTACTTGCTGTCCTGTAATATGTCTGGTCTGCCTGTGGAAAACACATGTTGTGATTCCCAGGCTTTTGCTACAATGAGCAATGTTACTAGTAACTAGCTTAGACAGGCTGCCTTACTCAAACTGTGCAGAATCGTTGACACAGGGACCTTTCAGAAGCCAATGAGCTTCCTCCACCCAGGGCGGTGAAAGTCTCTGCCCTCTGTGTTTCTGAAATCATGCACACTCGTTCTCCTGCACCTCCTGCAGAATGCACCACTAAGGTTCAGAGCAGCCCCCAAATAAACCTCGTTTCTTGCACATCTGTAGGGCTTCTACAGACAATTTGTTTGTATCTTTCTCCTCAAATACTGCTCTAAACCCCGGTGGGAGTTTGAAGCCAGGTGACTACATTAGAGAAATCACTTTAAAAACAAATGACACTGGAGAGTTGAAGACAAGCTATTTGCAAACAAACGGGCTCCAAGCTAAGCCAAGTCTTTGGCCTTGTACCGAGGCATCTTCAGCCGAAGGGTGTTGTGCGGAGAAGCTTGTCCTCCTCTCCCAGGGATGGCCTCATCTCGCCAGCATCTTCTTCTCCCTTGCTTATTCATTTTGCTTACTTGTGAAACATCTTCGTCTCTGTGTTTTGTCTAAAAGTTATATAGTTGAATTTTAGGAAATCCCACATCTTTTTTTTTTCATTCTTTTCATTTCTTGGTGCTATATGTTCATCAAAAGGCCACAGAAAATAAGTCAATGCAGGACTGAAAGAAATGATCAGTGCTCCACTCCACCTGGCTTACTCTAGAAAGAAGTTGATGCTTTGCCAAAGAGGATGTGATGGGGGCCAATCCCTCGCCGGGCTTCCAGGTGCTCACAAGTATCTGCACACAGTACCCAGCATCAGCAGGTAGACAGTGGCTACTCAGAGCACTGGGAGGTTTGTTCTGACCACTAGAAACAAAGGAAATTATCGACTAAAGGGACAGACGAGATGAAAGAATCGGGATGAGGACCTTTCCCACTTTGGGGCACACAAGACACAGCTTTTACCGCACTGAAGGTCTTGCTTACACCTGACGTCACCACCAGGTGAATAGACCTCAATGTCTTCACCAGTGCTAATTGCTTTCCCTTCTTAGCTATTCCCGAAAGAAGGATTTTCTGTCAGAAAGCGTGATTAGCAAAATCCTGGTAACCAAATGTAAATTATCTTTTTTGTAAAAGTGTTCCACATTATTGTATATAATGTCTAATTAATCTGTTATCTAAAATAAATCTTCCTGTCTCTTCCTTTGGGACCAGAGAGACTCCCTTTCTCAATCAAGCCCTGGCAGTATGATAAGCACTTTTCAAACTTAATCTATTTCATCATCATAATACCTTCATAAAGAAGCTGTTTAATAACATCATTAACAAATGAGAAATCTACAGCACAGAAATGTTGAGTAATTTGGCCAAAGTCACACAGCTAGAAAATGCAAAAGCCAGGATTTAAATGCAGGGCATTTGTCTCCAAAGTACAGTTCTGCTAAATCAATAGAACCTACTGCCTCAGCCTCTTGGCTTTCTTTTCTGGAATGGAGCTGTGAGGCCTGGAAGTCTAATCCACTTAGGCAGATGAATGGCAAAAACTCAAAGCCTTGTTGGCTGCAGGGCCTGTGTATGCATGTCTCCTACTAGATGTGGCAAACAGTCCCCCATAAATTCCTTAAGCTTGCTTGGCTTTTCCAGAGAAGGCATAAGACCTTGGCAATTGCATAGTGCCATGGTTATTGATTTAAAAATAAGAAAAAACATCTTGGTCTCTTCCCACATGGACTATAGTTTCTGGCTCTAAGCTACCTCTAAGGACAAAAGAGAAGTTGTCAATCAAAGCAACATATATTACACTCAGTCCTGGAAACCAGTTCTTTCAAATTACACAGGAATTATGGGACTATTTAATTTTTCAGCCAGCTTAACTGAAAGAAGCTCCTTTTAATCATTTCTGCCTGGATCCTGGCTGTGGAGGTGTGCATGGCTGAGAGGGACTTCTCCAAGTGAATCATTAAGTGGCCGAGGGTAATAATGGAACATTTTCCACAGAGAAAATGAATATGAAGTAATACCTCTTCCATATCACATAGCACACATCAGAATTATCTTTATCTTGGGTGGCAACAGTCATACCCACCCTGGACACAATCAAAAGTAATCATAAAAGAATTATGGGATGTGCCATCTTATTCTCACTGTATCAGAGCGATTGCTATTAAAACTACCATAACTATTTATATATGAACTTTCTCCTGAAGAGTTGAGATTCTTCTAGAACTGACATAAGGTGTCACAAGACTTTCACTCAGTACAGAATTACCACTAGTGGACCATTTTGCATGATTTCTCACTACATGTCTTCTTTTTTTATTATTATTATTTTAAAAATAAAAGGTGAAAAATACTAACAGACCGACAACATTTTACAAAATAGCAAAGGATCAGTACAGACAGAACAGAGTTACAAACAGAGTGGTAGGGAATTAACGATGCTTGTTGTATTACATATTGATATCTTCAAAGTGTTTTCTCATGACAACAGATATAGACGTACAAAGCTGATCAACCAAGGACTCACTGACAGTTTCTTTCAGCAAGGAAATACAAGACAGTAGAACAGCCATGTT